TATTTTAAAAAATCCCTTAATTACCCTACCAAAACCTATAACTGAAGCCATAACTAGCTGCATTGAAATGATCAAAACCTTTATCTTTAAGCAAAAGGAATGAGAGTAATTTTAAATACCTGCTACAGAACTAAACCTCTTGCTGAGACCAGGCCCAGGAATCACAAGCCTGGGGTTGGAATTGCGTTTTCTGCTCTTGAAGCAAAAGATCCCTATTGTTGAATTAACTGCAGCAGGGACTCCAAACACTTAAGTGGGGCTGCTCATTATCAGTAGCCAAACAAGAAGTATAAGACAATGGAATGAATTTTTCCTAAAGCTTAATTTCTTCCATTTAAAATGTTATCCTCCTTTAGGGTGAAATTATGTCCTTCAACACACTGAAAGTGTATTAAAATTGTCTTAAAAAATAAAATGATGGCACAGGAGTTATGAAATATAAAAGATGGGCAAGCTCTCTGCTGGTCTCCTGGAATTTCTGGGTGGAGAAAACCAAAGGCCTGGGAACCAAGGGGCTACAGCGTCCAGGCACCAGAGAACAGCAAATGCAGACTGATCATGGCTAAGTGTTCTCATGGGGTGTATTATTGATTTTGTTTTCAAAGTAAAATGAGGCGAAGCTACTGAAGGACCAATTAGGACATTACTATCTTTAAGTGTCGTAAGACTAAAAGGATTCAAATGCAGTTTCCTTCACAGCAAGCTTTTCGCAACACTGAAAACCACTTTGAAGTCACTGAAGGGTGACAGCCATTTCTGGGTGTGAGACAAACTGTACTAGAGTGGGCCTGCCAAGTCCCTTTTCGACGCCCCGCCCCCCGCCACCCCACCCCTACCCTCCAGCACCACACACACCCAAGCAGAAAGGCTCAGAGAGTCCATTACTATAAAGAGAAATTTCCTAGATTCTGGTCATCGTGAAAGCACAGATTTCACTGACCATCTTCCAACGCCTTTATTATCTTGGTTCTTTGTTGTCAAAAGTACAGGCACACCTCGTTTTTACTGCACTTCACAGACGTTGCAATTTGTACAAACTGAAGGCAAGACCTTCTATCAGCAAAAAGGTCACCCCCTCCTTTATTGCAATCCTTACTTCATTACAGAGGCCTGGACCTGAACCTGCCCTACAGGTGCCTGCAGCTAAAAGAGGATGAAGAGAAGCCAGTGGCCTCAAAGAGGTTCCTAACTGGCCAGTTGGTATCCAAAGGTGGGGAAAGTCATCACTGTGCAGGGCCTGCCATTGGGACAACTCTTCATAATACCCGGCGGGCACTGAGTACATAGGATGTGAGCACATCCCTAGGCACCTCATGCACTCCCTCCCTCTTCCTCCAGCCGCCCCTGAAAGACCAGAATTCCCATCACCATCTCCCAGATGGAAAACAGAGAATTAATGTCATGTAATTGTCCAAAGGTGTCCAAAGTCAGGGGCAGTCATAGCGAGGACTCCGCCCTCTATCACCAGTCACATCTGATCTCTAAGATGCTCCTCTTCAGGCCAATCAAGATAAATCACGTCCCCATGCCCTCCACACACCTGTAAGTGAGTCGAGAACACAGGACTCATCTCCATTCCTTCATCCATTCAGAAGTTATTTAACAGCGCCTGGGTGGCACCGTTCTGGGAGGAGATACAGAGGAACAAACACGGTGTCCACCCTCACGGAGCACAGAGTCCAGGAAGGGGGACACGCACAACCACACACATTTCTCTAGGTCCCTGAGAAATAGTAAAACATCCCAATGGGACTCAGGTGGGATTCA